AAAAAAAAAAAAAAAAAATTAAAAAAAAAAAAAGGTCTTTTCAGTACAATGGACAAATCAAATAAAAGTAAAACCAAATATTCAGAGCTCACTTTGATTTGATGTACCTCTCAGTCTCAGAGGGGGGCAATATTTTTATTCAACTTCAACAAAAGCTGGTTCTCAACGTTCTTGGAACTTATTCTAGCTCTTTTTGGACTGAAAATGAGGCCAGCAGTGCTAAAAAGTTGCTTGCAAGCAGCAGATGCAGGTAGGGGAGTGTTGAGCCTTAATGACAACTTCAATAGAGGTGGGAACGTTTTCAGGACACCCATGTCGTCACCAGCACATGTCAGATAGCCATCAAGCACTGCTGGGCCTTGTTGTGCCTGGGATGACTTCAATGGCTTGAAGAAATCCTCTTCCTCTGATGAAGTGGCATCACTTGTAAGCTGAGAGTTCTCCTCCATATTTCCCTTTATGAAGTCAAGACCTACAATACAATACACATTTGGTAATGTTTCTGCAACAATTTAAATTCATTCAAAAGCATTTTTAGTGCTTTTAAAATTATAAAGCTTATATGAACTTACTCAGTTTAAAATATATTATCTCAGCATTCCACTGTTCCAAAAATTAAATGAAAGTGTATAGAATATTGCCAAATCATGTAGAACACACATTATTCCATCTAAATGTTTAAGTTAGTTTTAAAATCAGTTTGCGAAAAAAAAAAAAAAAAACTGTACTAATTAGCATGTCACTGCTCTTCATTTAGTTTTATATGCCTATGTCAACAAACCGAGTTTGAGGATGGCAGCATCAGGCGTCCAATAAGTTTTAAACTTTGGAAGCAGGATTGCAGCCGCAATCAGCTCAGGATCATTGAGCATGTCCCCGAAGCGCTTGTTCACACCTGCAAGGATTGTATCTACCAGGCTCTTGCAGAGTTTCATGGATATCTTGGCTCGTTTTAGTTTGGAAACCATGATGTTGAGTGTTGGTACAAGCCAGCCCATGTGCACATTGGTTTCTCCCTGTAAGATATTAATCGCTTTGGCAACAGGGGCCATAGCTGTGACATATTCCCCAAGGAAGGCCTTTTCTGCAGGAGTGAACCTATAAAAGAAAAACCTTGTTTAAGACCATTTAAAGTAGCTGATTACTGCAAAATATAGATGCTACTCAATCAGGATAGAAATGTTTTATCATAGGATAGTAGAACAATGTATTAATTTGTAATGATTTGCTGCTACTCGCCCGGTTTCCCATTTTTTAATGAATAGTAAAAAAATATCCATCACTTCATCTGACAATGCCATCTTGATGGCATACAAATATTCACTTTTGCTGGTGGAAAAAGGCATAAAGTCTCTGAAAGAAACTTTAAAAGAAAATGCATAGCATCATTACATTTTAACATTACTCACATGGGGATTTTGAATTCCGCACAGAGATTCCGGAAAGCACCATCTCCCTTTTCCTTCATGATCCTCTCCACTGAAAGAAACAGTTCCATCGTGTGGCATTTGGACGAATTAACTGCATACTACATTCCTCTTCCATTATCTCTGCAGCTTTGTTGGACCAGCCACTCTTGCTCCACAAGGCCCAACATTTGGAGAAGGATGATCTTTATAACCTTTTGTAGGTTTCATCCGATTGAGCGGTGTCAACATCCACGGTGGAAACCAGGTTCAGAAGATGGCAAGCACAACGTTGATTCTTGGGCAAATTAAATTCAAGATCATCCTTGGCTAGAATTTCAGCAACCTCAACATATTCAATCTCCTCACATTTCTCCTCATCTTGAGTGTCATATTCATCCTCATCTTCTGATGGGGTTGCTGTTGGACTTTCTGTATTGTTCCGTGTATGTTCTCACCTCCATAGACACGAAAGGCTTTCAAAAAATTTGATCCATTGTCTGTTATACAGACAACTTTTTCATGGATCTCAAATTCAGAGTGCATGTCATGTATCGCAGCTGCAAGTACATCAAACGTGTGCGATCCCATTAATTGTCGACAGGCAAGCGCTGCAGAGCATCGGTGTAGATTGTCTGGGTCAATCCAGTGCGCTGTCATACCTATAAAGCTGCACTGCCTTGAACTCCAGCAGTCAGTGGTTGTACAGATGTATTCCACTCCTCTCATGGCTTCTGTTACACTTTTCTTCATTCCTCCTGCAGCTTCCTCTATCTTGGCACAGATGGTTGATCTTGATCGTACAGTAGAGTTAGGCTGCAAGTCATGAATCAGGTCCTTAAATTCATCTTTTTCAACCACTCTAAAAGGTCTAAAACCTTTATCAACAGTTGCTTGAGAATTGATCTTGGTCTCTCCAATTTTGAGTTGTTTCGTTAGGGGCTCCATATTTTTGCTCACATTCTTCCTCTTGTGTGCGATCGAGGTCAGGTCCGAGTAGTTTTTCAAGTGATTAGGATGTTTTCTCTGTATTAAAATGAAAGAGGAGCAGTGTTATTTTTCAACTTAGTAAAATACATATTAATTCAATGATAAATACATCACAAACTCACAGCTAAATACACCTGATGCACAATTTATAATCTGTTAGCAGACTTCCCATATTCAAAAGGATTAGATTTCATTTCAGTGACTACATTCATTCACATTATAACTACACATTTTAAACTAAAATATAGGCCTAGTCATGTCGCAGTGGTTTTTGTCATATCAGTAACTGTATTAACTTTTGGTATTGCTGACAAATAGCAAAGTTATGTTAACAAACATTATGCTGAAAATACCTTGTAAAGTCAGACATGGTCTGCATAGATTAATTTGGCTAAATTCACATTAAATTACCATTAAATAGGCTCTTACCTCAATATGTTTCCTCAAATTTGACGATGAATTCTTAAAAGCACTTATTTTCGTGGTTCGTGGCAAACAAAGTAGACACTGCATCCTGTAAGAGTCATTCTGTACACCAGCAAATGAAAACAATTCTTTCAAATAAGGCCATGGATGGTCGTCAGTGCTGGCATTGCATGATGTGCTGGCTTCGGCTTCATCAGTGGCTGCAGCCATGTCGCTAATTTATGTGAAACACCTGGCATTCGACAAGCTGCTAATTCACTTTCACGTGGAGTAGCTTCATTTACTGCGTAAAGGCAAATAGCATCCAGTACCTTCAATACCCTGCAGATGGCGATATCGCCTCTTCCGCCCAAGAAATAAGCCAAGGCAGATAAAGTTTGCGATTTGTCGTGCACAATCGCAATGTAATGAGTAACGGTAAGTGTCAGTTCAAATGTAGTGGAGTAAAGAGTACATATATTCAATCAATAATGTAGTTGAGTAGAGAGTAAAAGTTGCTTATATTTTTGATACTCAGTACAAGTACAAAGTAGCCAAAAAAGTACTTAAGTACAGTAACGAAGTACATTTACTCAAATACTTTACACCACTGCTGGAAAGGAAACCAAAGAGTTACTTGATGAGTGGCCATATCTTTTCCAGGCAGCAGGAATGAAAGCACACTTTAAAGTGCTCACTGGCATTGACGTGAACGACAGCTTTGAAGAAGCCACTACCAGTAAATTCAGAAGAATATCAGAGTACTTTCAGTTTCAGTGCACAGAAAGAGCAAGCAGAGCAGGGAGAATCCTCACCAAGATTAGGACTGGAGGAGATCATGTTTGTGGGGCAGTGATGTTGCTGCTTGCCCATTTAAAAAATGACCAAGACCAGTTTCTTGTGATGGTAGAAGACACTTGTGTTCCAAATGATATATGCCCAGAGCAGCTTCCACCTACTCCATGTATAGTAGTGTGTGGTGAGTATAATTTAATATGATCACTTAATATTCAATCCACAAAATTACTGATTGTGGTTGACTTGATATGAAATTTGCAGAATTCTCATTCTGTACGTTTTATTGCTTTCTGATTTTTGTTTGTTCAAAGGAGAGAACCCACTGACAGCCAGTGTATACATGGTAGCGGTAGACCAGATGATTGTGAATGACCATCTCTTGAGTTTTACTGAGGCACTGTATCTGATGTTTTCCCTCTACTACATATTGAACATCAGTTACCCTGTAGAACTGGGGGCCACACTAGAATTCTTGCAAAGGTAAGTCATAGGCTGCATTCACTAGGTTAAGAAATGTGCAGAAATTAAGGTTGTTACTATTATTGCTGTTGGTTTTTTTAAAGGTGCATCTTCAGGATAAATTCACATAAAGGTACCAAGGTGCAAAAGAGAGAGAAAAAGCGAGTGAACTCTGTCAACTCAAAAGTATTGAGTCTCACATCAAAAATTAATTTAAAAAATAATAATATTCCATTAACGTTTAAAAAATAAAATTATAACTTGAAAAATAAATTTGACGATTTTAATCTCTGCAGTCCGTAAAGATTCGTAAATCTCTGCCTGATTTTAACATTACACACAACTTTAATCACATGTCCAGTAAAATTGAGTTCTCTGATCAGATTCTGTGTGAACTGGCACTCCCAGAGAGGGATGGCTTCGTTTGCTAACACTTGCACCACTGTGTTTGTGGTTTTGTTGCAAGGGAAAAGACAAAACTTATTCCTTCCTTTGTTACTGGGTTGCAGGTCAATGAAATCAACTTTAAAACATCTTATGGCCTTACATGTATTTGGCCTATTCAAGATATTCCAGTCAGATCGATCATTTTAGTTGGTAAATTCTGTTAATTAATGTTAACTTTTCTCATTGAAGATATTTGCACAAATAGAAGATAAAGAAGTTCTTTCTCATTGGTTTGGTCATTCTACCTTTCAATTTCCTTTCTTAACAATTCTTGCTTCTCACCACCTTCTGTTTTTCTCTTTCAAATCTTCCAACGCTACTAGTCCTCCCAACTTCTTTATACGTACGCATTCCCTCTTTCTACATTCTGATCATTCTTCTTATTTTTCTACAACTTTCTTCTTCTAAATTGATGCTGAATCATCATGAGATTAAAGGCAATTTCAGGCCATTGTAATATAATATATTATAAGGTTGTTATAATATGAATTATATTACATTAAAAATAGAATAAATGAAAATGCTTGTATTACTGGTCTCTGGAGGGCCTCCTGAGCAACTTGTTCAGAATGACTGATTATCAGCTCACTGATCTTTCTGAAGATACACTTTTGATTTGGCCCTGTGGCTACAGCAGTCCTCGCATGTGCATTGTGTGCACAGCAGCAAGCCAAATTGGAAACCAGTTACAGGTTTTGCTGCTGTGAACATTCAATGAACTGCAAGCATTGGTCGAATCATTGCTCAATCTGAAGATTTTTGTGACTACAATGTGGAATTGGACACAATTTTCTTTTGTTTATGAGCTGAGATGTCGCTATGTGCATTCTTCTGAGAATCTATTTGAGTGTGAGAAAGTTTGGGGGTTGGGCAAACCCAGAGCAAATGCAAAGTACACATGTTGTTTTAGATTTATGGTCTCTTCATGTTTGTTTGTCTGCTTAAAGACAAAGACTGAGAATCATATGACTGTGTAGTAAGTTTTGCAAAGCCTAAAATAAAACCAAGCTATAAGCTGTATTTATTAAGGCTGTACTTTGGACAGTGTTGTTGAGCCACATATTGTGAGATCAGAGATTTTCTACTATTGAGTGATTTTCAAATAAATTTAATTTGATTTAATTTGACTGTTTTACTAATTCTCCCTCAGGAGAAGTTGTGAATGTCCTCTGAATGGGTTTAACCCTCAGGCTTACAAGCCTCTCAGTAGCATCAAAATTATCATTATGTGCATTACAGTTTTAGATTTTGAATTTCTAATGTCCCATCTTTTATTCACAGTCACTGGGACTTCTGCATGGCAGCAATAGTTCTCTGGGACTGAGGCATACTTTTTTGCCAGATTAGAGTTTCTTTTGAGACTCTCTAAATTTTAATTTCATTGTACTGTCTTACCCAACTTCACTTTGACATGCAAAAGATTCTAGTGAGAAATTTATTATCTTTTTAGTTAATCCAATCACAATTTCTCTTAAATTCTTTGCACATAAATGTTTACTTTTCAAATGATGCAAAACCAATAAACAATATTGACAGGAAATTATTAATCTCAGAATTTAGGTTGCAATTTGCAGCCCTCTGTTGCGTACCAGAATACACTTTTGGATGATGTTATTCCAATTTTAATTTTGGTTCAAGAGATTTCATTCCTCATCTACTCTGCCGCTATCTTGTCCCTGTCAATTCATGTGGTTTTGTCTAATTCTTATAAGCCCCACCGGATTTCTGCGGTCTCCGGTCTAATGATGAGTATTCCGACTCATTCTACAAAAGTATGTCTATATGGGGTAAGCTTTCCCTCAACACTTCTAAAAAGGCAAATAAGAATTGTATTACCGCAGCAGCTGGAGAAAAGAGAAGGAGAAGCTCAAACCTCTTTCTGGAGCACATCTGAATGTTGCGCTGAAAAGACCCTCGCCAACAGGAGATGGGAGATCACGGAGGGACGGTCACCAACTGTAAGGATCCAGCCGCCAGCCCAAAAAGTGGAATC